TCACAGGAAATGACCAGGGTTCAAGCAGAATGTGGAATAAGAGATATAATTGCTGATGTCAGATGGACTTTGGCTGAAAGCAGAGCATACCAGAAACATGTTTATTGTTTTTAAATGTCATTTCCCTATGCCTTATTGAGTATGCAAATGCTTTTGCTTGTGTGGATCATGACAAGCTATGGAAAACATTGTGTAGAATGAGTCTTCTGAAACACTTAATTGTGCTCATGAGGAACTTGTCCATTGATCATGAGGCAGTTGTTTGAATCAAATAGGGAACATTGAATGGTTTTTAAAATTAGGAAAGCTGTGCATCAGGGTTGTATCTTTTGCCATACTTATTCAATCTGTTTGTTGAGCAAATAATCTGAGAAGCTGATTTATATGAAGCAAAACTTGGTTTCAGGGTTGGGGGAAGCTTCATTAATAACCTGCAATACACAGACTATACATCTTTGTTTGCTGAAAGTGAAGAGGACTTAAAATACTTACTGAAGAAGATCAAAGACCAAGCCTATGGGTTGCTCCTCAGCGTAAAGAAAACAAAAACCCTCACTATTAGACCAGTAAATAACATCAAGATAAATGGAGAAGAGATTAAAATCGTCAAATACTTCATTTTACTCAGATCAACCATTAACATTCATGGGCGCAGCAGTCAAGAGATCAAGAAAAGTACTGCATTAGGTAAATCTGGTGTACAAGAGCTCTTTAAAGGTTCAAGAACAAACATGTCAGTTTGAGGACTAAGGTGCACCTGACCCAAGTATTTTCGATAACCTCATATGAATGTCAACAATGAATAAGGAATACTGTAATTCATACATTTAAATTATGGTATTGGAGGAAAATATCAGAAGTACAATGGCCCATTCAAAGGACAAACAAATCTGTGCTGAAAGAAGAACATTCAGAATGTACTTATAAGCCAGATGGCCAGACTTCATCTCTTACACTTTGCATATATTATCAGAAGTGTCCAGTCCTTGGAGAAGGACATCATGCTTGGTAAAGTAGAGGGTCAGCGAAAAAGAAGATCCCCTGAAATATGGATTGGCACAGTGGCAGCAGCAATGGACTCAAGTGTGGTAACAACTGTGAGATTGGCGCAGAACTGATCAGTGTTTCATTCTGCACCTATCTGTGCCCATTCCAAAGAGAAGTGCCCCAACAGAATGCTGAAATCATCAGACTATATCTTTGAAATTCCATGCAAATAAAGTTTTACTAAAGGTAATACAGAAATGGCTGCAAGCATATATTGATAGAGAACTCCCAGAAGTTCAAGCCAGATTCAGAAGAGATCATGAATTAAGGGATATCATTGCTGATGTCCGAGGGATCTTGGCTAAAAGGAGAGAATATCAGAAAGATGATTACCTGTGTTTTATTGACTGTGCAAAGGTTTTCAATTGTGTGGACAAGCTATGAACAACATTGTGAAGTATGAGTATTCTGGAACACTGAAGTGTGCTCATGAGGAATCTATACCTGGACCAAGAGGCAGTTATTCAAACAGAACTTGGGAACACCAAATGGTTTAAAATCAAGAAAGATGTGTCACACAGTTGTATTATTTCACCATAATTATTTAAACTGTATGTTGAGCAAATAATCTGAGAAGCTGAGTTATATGAAGAAAAATGTGACATCAGGATTGCAGGTAGACTCATTGACAACATGCGATATGCAGATGATACAACCTTGCTTGTTGAAAGTGAAGAGGGCTTAAAATATTTACTGATGAAGATCAAAGACCACAGCCTTTGATATGGATTGCATCTCAATGTAAAGAAAACAAAAATCCTCACCACTGGACCAATAAACAACATTCTTATCAATGGAGAAAAGATTGAAGTTGTCAAGATCTTCATTCTTCTTGTATCAACTATCAATACTCATGGAAGCAGCAGTCAAGAAATCAAACTATGTATTGTATTGTATTAGGCAAATCTGCTGCACAAGACCTTTTCAAATCTTTTGAAGAGCAAAGATGACAGCTTGAAGACTAAGGTGCACCTGACCCAAGCCATGGTATTTTCAATAACCTCATATGCATGAGAAAGCTGGACAGTGAATAAGGAAGACCGTAGAAAAATGGATGCTTTTGAGTTAGGATGTTGGAGAAGAATATTGAAAGTGCCATGGACTGCCAAAAGAACCAACAGATCTGTTGGAAGAAGTGCATCCAGAACATTCCTTGGAGGAGGCCAGGATGGCCAAACTTCATCTCGCATACTTTGGACATTGTCAGGAGGGACCCTGGAGAAGAATATCATGTTTGGTAAGGTGGAGGGTCAGAGAAAAAGAGGTAGACCCCCAGCAAGATGGATTGGCAAAGTGGCAGCATCAATGGGCTCAAGCGTGGCAACAATAGTGAGGTTGGCCCAGTTTTGATCTGCTGTGCATAAGGTCACCATGAGTCGGTACCAACTTGATGGCATCTAACAACAGCAACAACAAAATCAACGACTTCTTCAATGCCAATACCTCTTTTAAACATCATAAAAGATGACTGACTATACAAATGGACTTCACCAGACAGCGCACACAGAAATCAAATTGACTTCTTCCATGGGAAGACATTGAAAAGTTCCATATCATCAGCCAATACGTGGCCAGAGGCAGACAGTGGAACAGACCATCAATTGCTCATATGCAATTTCAGGCTTAAGCTGAAAAAAATTAAAACAAGTCCATGAAAGTCAAATTGTGATTTTGAACATATCCCACTTGAAGTTAGAGATCATCCCAAAGCACATTTGATGCATTAGACACAAGACGAAAGACCAGAAGAGTTGTGAGATGACATAAAAAATATCGTACAGGAAGAAAGCAAAGGGTCATTTAAAAAAAAAAAGAAGAAGAAAAGACCAAAATGACTGCCAGAAGAGGCTCTGAAACTTGATCTCCAGTGTATAGATGCTAAAGCAAATGGAAGAAAGAGCTGAACTGAAAATTTTAAATGGCAGCTTGCAAAGACCAAGTAAAGTATTATAATGAATTGTGCAAAGAGCTGAAGTTAGGAAACCAAAATGAAAAGAACACCCTCGGGATATCTCAAGCTAAAAGAACTGAAGAAAATTCAAGCTTCAATTTGCAATATTGAGTCCTGGTTAATGTACTGGACTGCAAAGTCGATTTGAACAGCAAAGTTGCCAGTTTAAGCTCACCAGTTTAAACTCCTCAGTTAAAGCTCCTCAGCAGTTTAGGCTCCTCAGAAACCCTATACAGGGTCACCATGAGTCAGAACTGACTCAACGGCACTTAACAACAAAAAGAATAACATGTGCAAAGTACTGAATGATGCAGAAAGCATCAAAAGAAGATGAAAGGAATACAATGAGTCACAGCACTGAAAATAAATGGACAGTGTTCAACCATTTAAGAACTAGCATATGATCAAAAGCCAATGGTAAATAGTCCAAGGTGCACTGGAGGCACTCATTGAACTATGCTAAGACATTTGGAAAACAGCTGATTGGAAGAGATCCATATTTTTGCCCATTCCAAAGAGAGAGTCTACCCAAAGTAATATGGAAATCATTGGACAATATCATTAATATTACTTTGCAAGTAAATGTTTGCTAAAGATCATTCTAAAACTGGTGCAACAATACACTGACAGGAAACTGCCAAACGTTCAAGCCAGGTTCAGAAGTGGTCATGAAATGACAACTATCACTGCCAATGTCAGATATATCTTGCTGAAAGCAGAAAATAGCAACTAGATGTTTGCATGTGTTTTATTGACTATGCAAAGGCTCTCTACAAGCTATGGACAACATTGTAGAGAATGAGTATTCTGGAGCACTTAATTGTGCTAATAAGGAACATGTGCAGAGACCAAGAGGCAGTTGTTCAAACAGAACAAATAGACACTGACTGCCTTAAGATCAGAAAAGGTGTGTGCAAGGGTTGTATTCTTTCACCATCCTTATTCAATATGTATGCCAAGCAAATAATCTGAGAAGCTGAATTATATGAAGGAGAACATAACATCAGTATTGGAGGAAGACTAATAACCTGCAATATGCATTTGCTACAACCTTGCTTGCTAAAAGGGAAAAGCGATTAAAATAGTTAATAATGAAAGTCTGAGACCACAGTCTTCTGTATGGGTTGTACTTTGATGTAAAGAAAACAAATTTTTTTTACCACTGGACCAATAAATAACATCATGATAAATGGAGAAAAGATTGAATTTGTCAAAGACTTCATTTTGTGTGAATCCACTATCAACACTCATGGAAGCAAAAACAACAACAACAACAAAAATTCCTCAAGAAATCAAAGGACATATTGCATTGGGCAAATCTGCTTTACAAGATCTCTTTAAAATGTTCAAGAGCAAAGATGTCAGTTTGAGGACTAATATGCACCTGACCCAAGCCATGGTATTTTATATACTTTATATACTTGTGAAAGTTGGGCAGTGAATAGAAAGATAATAGAAATCGAATTATGGTGTTGGAGAAGAACATTAAAAGTTCCGTCGGCTGCCAAAAGAGCAAACAAACTGTGTTGGAGGAAGTACAACTAGAATGCTCCTTAGGAGCAAAGATGCTGAGACTTCTCTAACACTTCAGATATATTATATGGAGGGACCAGTCCATGGAAAAGGACATCATGCTAGGTAAAATGCAAGGTCAGTAAAAAAGAGGAAACACACCACCACCACCACCCCGCCCCCAACAAGATGGACTGGCACAGTGGCAGCAGCAAAGGACTCAGGCTTAAAATGATTGTGAGGATGGTACAGGACCAGGCAGTGTTTCGTTCTTTTGTGTGTGCGATCACTATGAGTCGGTACCTGACAACAACAGAAGTTCCTAGTGTGTAATCTATCACTTCAAACTTGACTCTGTCCACTAGTTCCTTATTCATTATTCCAACCAGTATTTCCATTTTCTTTTTGAGTCTTAGGTATGCCTACACACTAAGGCAGAGTATTATGAGAATTGACAGAATATGGTCATTAGGGAAATAAAGTAACTCACCTTTGGCAAGATCAATGGTAATTTTAAAATTGGCAACTGATAATGAGTTTCATTAGTTATAAGAGATATTTCCAAGTTAGGGACTATCTTTTCTTTAGGCACTTTAAAAACTTCAATAGTGCCCTTATAATGAGAGCAGCTATAGTTCCCAAATTCATCGACTTCTTTGAGTTGGAGTTCCAGTCTGGGTTTTCTTTGTAAGTGAAAAACAAGCTTGTAGTCTTTTCCATAATCCTTTCCATTGCCTAAGTAAAAATAAAATGCATGTGTTATTATTAAGATATATCTCATTCTTTAACATGTTTAAAAATATAAATAATGTGGTACAGTGAATTATCTAATGTCTTATAATCTGTAACACCCACCAAACAACATTTCTGCCCTGCTGGGTCTGATTAAGAAAATGTGGGAGAAGATACAAATAGGATGTCATGGTTCAGCTATGGATGTTAGCAGAGTAGTTGTAAAAGCTGGGAACTTTAGCATGGGTTTAAAATGTGTCATCTCAGAAGCAGGAGGAGGATATCACTACCATTAAAGAAAAAAAGCCAAGAGTGGAGCCTGTCCTTTGGACCCTGAGATCCCTGCACACTGATCTCCTTAACCCAGGGAGAGGGAACTCTGACATCAGAGGACTGGCAGAGGAACGGCAGTAGCAGTCCAAAGAAGCAAAACACAACTGGGATGAGACTGTAAAAGCCCTTCTGGGGAAACGTACTCAGGTGAATGCTGTCAATAATAATGACTATGTTGTTGCTGTTAGGTCCTGTGGAGTCGATTCCGACTCATAGTGACCCTGCATAGGGTTTCCGAGGCTGCAGAAAGCCTCATCTTTCTCCCATGGAACAGCTGGTAGTTTCGAACTGCTGACCTGGAGGTTAGCAGCCCGATTCGTAACCACTATGCTACCAGAGCTCCTTATACTCCCTTGCATTATGCAGCTTCCAAAAACAGCACAAGACTGTTGTCATGTTGCTAAGAAGGTGGGGCTATTTCAGATACTAAGAACCATTTTGAAGCAACAGGAATGCACTGGGAACCAACCAAAGGTAACTTGAAGATGATTCATATCCTTCAGTACTACAAAGCATCCACAAAGAACCAAGACACCAAGGGTAACATTCCTCTACACTTATCCTGTGTAAGGAGAGAGTAGAAGAAGCAAAACTGTTGGTGTCCCAAGAAGCAAGTCTTTACATTGAGAACAAAGAAGAAAATACCCCTGCAAGTGGCCAAAGGTGGACAGGGTTTAATACTTAAGAGAATGGTGGAAGGTTAAGCAGCTTAGGTTTTTTCTTTGTGTCCTGGAAAGAACTTACTTATGCATCACAATGAGAATGATGTTTTCTTTTTATAAAAGTTTAATAGTGTTCCGACTGAGTTACTTGTTTTAAGCTTACAACCTGCTTTCCAGCCATTGAGTCACTGTTGAAGTTGTTCTACTGTTGAGTATTATTCAGGATTGATTTTGGATAATTTTGAGTAAGTGGTTCTGTGGCTGTTGTGAGTCTTTAGCTCCTTGTTATGCACCCTCTTTCACTTCCTAAAGCACAATACTACCAAAAATGTCAGGCCATTTATTCTGCCAAATGTTTCTAGATGGACTCTAGACTGTTCCTTCATACGTTGAAATGCATCCTACGTTGTTCATTCAAATTCACTCAGGCCTATGCCACAATTTTGTTTTTGCGACTGTAAAGGTTAATCTATTTTTGTTATAGGAGGAATTCGCATATATTTTTGTGGACCAAATTTTAAGGTGGAGGTCATGTTATCCAAGTTTTGCATTCAGAAACACTAAAATTAATAAAATGAAGCAGTGAAAGGTATATATATACCACAGCCACCACCATATATATATGTTGTTCTTAAGTACCGTGGAGACAGTACTGATTCATAGTGACCCTGCACAGGGTTTCCGAGGCTGTAAATCTTTATCGGAGCAGAACACCTCATCTTTCTTCCACGGAACCGCTGGTAGTTTCAAACTGCTGACCTTGAGTTAGGCAGCCCGACTCAGAACCACTATGCTACCAGAGCTCCTTACCATATATGTGTGTGTGTTGTTGTTGTTGTTGTTGTTAAGTGCTGTCACGTTGATTCCAACCCATAGCAACCCTGTACAGGGTTTCTGAGGCTGTAAATCTTTACAGGAGCAGAAAGCCTCATCTTTCTCCCATAAAACAGATGGTAGTTTCGAACTACTAACCTTGCGGTTTGCAGCCAGATTCGTAACCACTAAGCTACCAGAGCTCCAAACACACACACACACATATATACATTGTTGTTAAGTGCCATCAAGTCAGTTCCAACCCATAGTGACCCTGTGTAAATTTTCCCAGGAAAAACTGGTGAACTTGAACCACCTACCTTGTGATCCAAACCAACGTTGCAGTTCAGCGCATTAACCCACCAAGCCACACCAGGACTCCTTACAATATATATACATGTAACATTAAAAAAGAAAATATTTAGCCTTTTAAGAATTTTCTTTTTCCATTCCCCTAATTTATCAAAGTCCTGGTGTGGCTCTGTAGAAAAAGCCCTGTACTGCTAACCACAAGGTTGGTGGTTCAAACCAACCAACTGCTCCTTGGAAACTTTATAAAGGGGGGCTAAGACTCAAAACCAACTCGACTGCACTTAATAACAATAACATACCATTCATTGCATGTTGAACACCATAATGAACCTACAATGGATCTTTTAAGCTGCACTCTGCATTACGATTGCTGTTGTTGTTGTTAAGTGCTGCCGAGTCGGTTCCAACTTGTAGCAACTCTGCATAGGATATCCAAGGAGCAGCTGATGTGTCTGAACTGCCGACCTTGTGGTTCACAGTCCTGTGCTGATTCTACAGTGCCGCATTATGAGTCCTGCCTTATGGTGCCGTTGTTGTTATGAAGTGCCGTCAAGTCGGTTCTGACCCATAGTGATCCTGTATAGGGTTTCTGAGGAGTGACTGGTGAGCTTGAACTGCCGACCTTGCAGTTCAAATGGCTTTGCAGTCTGGCACATTAACCCACACCTCCACATAGCCACTAACAATATATGTCTGTTAATATTTAAAATAATTAAAATCAAATTAAATTGAAAACTCAGTTTTTGTGGTATAGTGCTGTAGGATTAGCACTGAACTTCAAACAAACCACAAGGTCAGCAGTTCAAACCCACCAGTTGCTTCTTGGAAATCCTATACAGATTCACTATGAGTTAGAACTGGATCAACAGCACTTAACAACAACAACAAAGTCACATTTCAAGTGTGGTGCTGTAGGATAAGGACTGGACTATGAACCACAGTGTTGGCAGTTCAAACCCACCAGCTGCTTTTTAGAAACCCTACACAGAGGAGCTGAGTCAGATCCGACTTGATGGCACTTAACAACAACAATCACATTGCAAATTCTCAATAGCTAGTGGCAACTTTGGCGTCCTGGTATGATGCTGTAGGATAAGCACTGAACTGCTAACTGCAAGGTCATCAATTGAAACTCAACCTCCACTCCATGGAAACCCTATACAGGGTCGCTATGAGTCAGAACTGATTCAATGACACTTAACAACAAGAAGCGGTTACTTTATTAAACAGAGCAAATATGAAATCTTTCCACGATCACAGAAATACACAGTGCTAGTCTAGAAATTGGAGTCCTGGTGTGGCACTGTGGATTAATGCACTGGACTGCAAAGTCAGTTTGAACCACAAGATCGGTGGTTCAAGCTCACCACCTACCCCTGGAAAACCCCATACAGGGTTGCTATGGATCTAACCAACATGAAGGCACTTAACAACAACAACAACAATTCTAGAATTTTCAAATGAAACAATTAATGGATTCCTGTTACAGAAGTTTGTATGTAAACCAGATGGATTCCCCCAGACAAAGATAGGTGAATATCTTATTACTAATTCCTCATTGAATACTTTATGTTATTGTGAACACAGAATTTTTCTTTCATATATTTTACCATGATAGTCATGATATTCCCTGATGACTATTTAAAATTGTACCTGTGCTACCTGCTCGTAGATTTCCCATCTTCTTTACCTATTTTATTCCTTTTGCACTTTTCACATCTATTAACAAATTACCTTTTCATTGCAATCATAAAATGGACACTGCCTTGTTTCTTTATGCCTGCATCAGCCTCTACCAAGTTTAAAAGAAAATTATAATGTATTAGATAAGATAATACATTTTAGAATTAAATATCTATATCCCAATCTAGCCCTTTCTTGATGTTGTGTGTTGTTAAGGGTTGTTGAGATGTGTAGGCTTTCTGAGGAATAACTGGTGAATCTGAACTGCAGACAATGTGATTCAAAGGCTAGGCTTATCCTACAGGACCATACAGGAGTCCAGCCTTTACCCACACTTCAATATCTGTCCAGTTCTTTCACATCCTGAGCTTCTCTGAGTCTCAATTTATATATGTTGCTGATGTTAAGTGTCTTTGAGTTGGTTCTGACTGTATAGGGTTTCTGAGGAACAGCTGGTGGGTTTTAACAGCCAACCTTTTAGTTAGCCATCTAGAGTTTACCCTACAGCATTACACCAGGAATCATAAAACCTTTTGAGCTTGTTCTTTGTTGTTGTTGTTAAGTGCCATGGAGTCAGTTCTGATTCAGAACAACCCTGTATAGAGTTTCCAAGGAGCAGCTGGTGGGTTTGAACCACTGTTCTTGTGGTTAGCAGTCCAGTGCTTATCCTAAAGTGCCACAGGAATGAAATAAATGTATAAAATGTTTAGCACAGGACTTGACACATAATAAGTGTGAAAGAGATGATTGTTTTTGTTGTTGTTAGGTGCCTTCGAGTTGGTACCGACTCATAGCGACCCTATTCACAACAGAACAAAACACTGCTCAGTCCTGGACCAACCTCACAATTGTTGCCATGCTTGAGCCCATTGATGTTGCCACTTTGCCAGTCCATCTAACTGGGGTCTTCCTCTTTTTCTCTGACCCTCTACCTTACCAAGCATGATATCCATCTCCAACGACTGGTCCCTCCTGGCAATATGTCTGAAGTATGAGAGACGAAGTTTGGTCATCCTGGCCTCCAAGGATCACTCTGGCTGCACTTCTTCGAACACAAATCTGTTGGTTCTTTTGGAAGCCCATGGCACTTTCATTATTCTCCTCCAACACCATAACTCAAATGCACCAATTCTTCTACAGTCTTCCTTATTCACTGTCCAGCTTTCACATGCATATAAGGTTATTGAAAATACCATGGCT